TCAAACTTGGCAACTTGTATTGTAAAATAGGAGTTTGGTAGTAAAGGCCCCTATAAAAGGTCCCACATTTTATCCTTTTCTTAGATAAATTTCAACATATGATTAAATGACCATAAAGATATCAAATATCTTTTCAATTTCATCCTCCCCTCAGACTAGACTCGAATTTCAATTTCAACTACATTTTATTTAATAAAATAATATTATATGCAAACCAAAAAATTTTCCTTATTTTGTAACCACAAATTATCCATCAATTTATTATCCCAAAATGAAGCTCAAATAGCTCTATATAAGTTCATAACTTTTTTCTATTTAGTTATGGTCGAAATTCCACTAATGATGACACGATTGAATCAGGAGAAGGAAATGATATTTTTGATGCATACAAGAGAGCTACTCTACGTCCAAGGCCATATGGGCCTTGAATTTCCACATGGCCGCCTATCGATATCCAGGACCTATGTATTCCTAGACAAGCAGATTTATTATAAGAAGAAAGAAATTTTTCTCTTTTATACGATTTATAATTTTTTCTATAACATTTTTCGTTTTATTTGGGCAAATAATGCTTTGTAACATGAAAGTCCACTCCTTGCCGTATGGGATGTAAACCAAGGTACAAAACCATCCGTCTTTGACCATTCTGCTGACAATTATTCCAAATTTTTAAATGAAGCGCAAAGTTTGAAATATTAAAGGCGAACGTCTTCAGAATCAATTCCGATTGAATTGCATTTATTAGAATGTTCAACTATCCAAATAATATCATTACACTTGATTTATTTAAATTTTATCTTCAATAAAATTATCTTACTTAAGGTTGGGATTGGTCATTATTTTGGAATTTTGTTTATAACTTAAACAATATCAGATATTAATTTATTAAATTAAAACCCCTAGTCGAATCCAATGAACCAATAATATTATGTGCTTTAAATCCAACTTGACAACTTGTTTTGTAAATATATGAGTTTGGTAGCATAGGCGGCTATAAAAGTTCCCACATTTTATCCTTTTCTTAGATATAAACTGCCAAATATTAATTATGCTATTTGATCCCTTAATAATTAAATGACTATAAATATCACAAACATCTTTTCAATTTCATCCTTCCCTCAAACGAGACTCGAATATATATACACATACATTAAAAAAGTAAGTAGTATTGGGAAATTAATTAATCTGCCATTTAGGTCGACATATGTAATAAATTGTGCATAAAGACTATCTTAAAGTTAAGTCCGAAATTAAAGTGATTTAATAAAGAATTAAGTAATTGGGCTTAGGGCATCTAAATGAAGTGTGGTCCGGGTTATATGTATAGATACCAGATTTTTTTAGGATTGTATTTCGGGCGAAATATATACTAAAACTATATATAGGGTTATTATCCCAATTCATATGCAATTTCTCATTCTTTATGACATCTCATCGACACAAGAATCTAAAGAAAAAGTATATTGAAGAGGAAATCCAAAATCCGCAAATGGATTTCAAGAATCAAGAAGAAGAATCCAAGAATTCATAACAAGATTAAAGATTCGGAGGACAAGATTCAAAGATTATACTCCAAAATTTAGTGTTCAAGATACAAATCAATTAATCAAAGGTATATTACGCATTAATTATTTATCTTGGTGATTCGATATGGAGATATTGGCAATTATGTAAAGTTTATAAAATTTAAATTTCATAATTGTTTAACAAATAGTTCGAGTAGAAAGATGATATGAGAAAAGTTTGTAACTTTTTTTCTATTTAGTTATGGTTGAAATTCCACAAAAGATGACACGGTTGAATCGGGAGAAGGAAATGGGATTTTTGATGCATTAGATTGTTTTAAATATAATTAAAGAAGAAAAAACTTAATTTTTTCTCTGTTATATGATTTATAATTTTTTTCTATACTAATTTTTTTTCCTCCAAATAATTCTTTATAATATGAAAGTGTGGACTTTGACCATTTGGCATATGGGACGTAAATGAACGTACAAAACCATCAGTTTTTGACCATTTTGCTGACATTTATATCAAGAAGTGTGCATTGATTCTATGAGTTGAACTTGATCAAAATATCAAAAATTTTATGCGAATTTTGTGCATTTCATCCCTAACCTTTGGAGACTCTTTCTAATCCCTCCCCAACTTGATTGATCTTTGCCCAATTCATACTTTTAATGATTTCCAATTTAGATATTAAATCACCACGTGGATTATCCGCACATGACATAATTTCCCAAGAGCGAATTAGTCATATCATTTCCACACAATTGGAGAATGAATTTGTATACCTAACCTAACTCATCCGTAATATTTAAATAAATTAGCATAATGGTCCGATCTTTTTAACCTGATTGAACACTATTGATCTTCCAACCTTTGAAACTAAACATACTATAATACATACTCGTTATATACAATGATTTTGGTTTTTTGTATACAAATATTTCTTATACCTCTAGAAGTAAAATCTCACACTGTAAATTTAACTTGTTCGAGATTAAATTGATACAATAAAAATACCAAACAAATCACAATTCACACAATATACCATACAACAAATCGACAACTAGCGATTTTAATTCAAAAGTACGAAGAGAGCGGTGCAAAAGGGTTTTGGGATTTCTTTTTATATAAAATAAATCCGTCCTTTGTTTTTAAGAACCACTGAAATTTTCCCATCTAGTGACTATTTTGCCCATGGAAGATTATGTCATGAGCGATCCACGTGGAGGTTTAGCAACTCAATTGACAGAAATTGTTTGGAAGAATGAATAGTGCAAAGGTCCCTAAAGGTTTGGTAAGAGTCTCCAAGGGATGAAAATTTTCCATTTCTAATCTATAGATAATTATTGCACCTTTAAAATACCATGTTGGGATTTTTCTCGTTTAAATTATTAATATAGAGTTTAATTATATTTCTTTTGGGACAAAGGCATTATTTTCTTGGTTTACTTTGACCATTTTGTGATGTATGTCATCATTGTCTTTATCAAGATAGTTTGTCAAGTCAATTGTCAGCCGGATAATTTTGTGCTTCCAGCCATTGGATCAACTTGGATGATCAAGACCATGCGGCTTCTCATTTTTAGGGTTCAGGATAACGTGTAGCTTAAAGCTCATTTGGTTTAGATAAAAATCAGAATTTAAGTAAATTTTAATAAAAATTAATGAAATGTATTATTGAAAAAGTGTGAATTGTGATAAAATTAATTGTTATTTTTAACTTAAATTTTAATTTATTTTTGTAGTTGAATCAATCAAAGGCAAATCTTCTTTTTGTGAAACGTTCCGCTATCTTGTTCAACACCTTTTTCTTCGTGATTTCTCGTAAGTGAACCATGGTTCCACACCATTTTAAAATAGAGCAAATTGGTTCTCTGCTTCTTTGTATAGATGCACAATTATTACACAATCACAAAAGTATCGAGATCTAAATTAACTTGTCATGTTACTCACATAAAAGCATGTCCAATTTCAATTTTTTGGACCTCAATTCAAATTAAAAATAAATGCTGGATATAGAAGAATCACGTAGTAATAATTTAGAGGGGTTAATATCATCATGAATTGTTGTGCAATTATAAATGTATATTAAAGACAAACTTGCTACTTAAATTAAGTATAAAGCCATTCGTATAAAAAAATGACTCATAGAATTCCGTCAAACACTCACAATGTGTGGGCTCCATGTTGTTATAGTAAAATTCCAAAAAAATCCCCCACCTCCTATTGTGTGTTGTTTTTGACATTTCTATGAATCACAATTTTGTTCACACAGCATTCCCCATTAAATTAAGAATTGAGTTGGGGGTGCCTCCCGGGGCACAGCTCAACTGGTGGATCAATCAACATTGGCGTGCTTTCAGCGGCAGGGTGGAGAGTTCGATTCCTGGTGGGAACCTGCGGCCAAATATTTGGTATGGAGCAATCACTGTGGAAGAGGGTCTCTTGTGCGCAGAAGTGTACAGTCAATGGGGGGAACCTGTGATTCAGTTGAGGCATAACCCGCGATTTACCCCCTCCAAGGTTCTAGGGGCATGGGTCTTGAAAATCCAGGATTTAGTCTGGTGTAAGTTGGGATACCTGAATATAAAAAATAAAAAAAAGAATTGAGCTGGGGGTATAGAACTCGTAGTTCACGGACCTCTTACGGAGGTTTCAGACATGGTGAGGTCGGAATTTTTTTTATCATTTTTTATTGCAACGGGCTCCGCAATGAGATGGACCTTTTGTGAGGCTTCTAATTTTCTTATGTGCTTGTTAAATTAAAGGCTCCTGATGATCACAGGACAAATCAAAGTCAACTTTTTATTGCTGGAACAAATTTTTTATTATATATAATGTCATTTGCTATATTTTATTATACATAGTGGCTTTTGTGAATGCGCTTTGTCCAATTATTTGGCCTTAGCAAAAAGTCATCTGAAATGTGAACGCACAATTTTGCTCAGCACTGCGTTTTAGAATGGCCGCTGCTATATCCTCAAGTTGATTTCAAATAATTCTTTTATTAAGTATGTATTTGGTGGGAATAAAAATTGATAAAAGTGTATAATTAAAAAATTGTGAATTTTATAAAATATTTGATTACAATTAATTGTTGACAATATGGACTGAAAGTAATTTTCACATATTGTTCCCTTTGCAATGAGAATCTTTCTGACGAAAGCATTTGATCTGATATCAATTGCTACCATTGCATTGAATATGACCATGTTGTCCGAACTCAGATGCACCAACACTTAATTTTTCGAAAGTAGGAGACGGACAAATTGAATATACATTAACTTTAATTTTTAAAAATTTTATGTTTATTATATATTTTATCTTTAATTTTATACTTTTTATTACAGGACAAATCACATGTCACATAGAGCACTCCTTCGAAGAATTTTAACGTAGTGGAGCAAGACACGGAAGTAATTATAATCAATTTCCACAGAATTTAATATCGAATCGAGTTCCATAAGGATATATAATGATCAACATGCAAGGCTTTGCACTTGGGCAATATTAAAACCAAAACAGTTTTCTTTCCAAGATGAGAACCCAAAATCTTCAATCTTTTTACCTCCTCTTTTTACTTGTATTCTTCTTCTCCTTCAATTCTGCAACTTCAGAATCTCATCTTCAGTTGAGAAGAGGCGATTCTTTATCTGTTGAGGGCGATCAAGATTTCCTCACCTCCCCAGATAACTCATTTACTTGTGGGTTTCTTAACTTGGAAAATTCTAATGCCTACTGGTTTGCAATTTGGTTCACAAATTCTAAAGAAAAAACCGTCGTCTGGACCGCAAATCGGGACAGGCCGGTTAACGGCCACGGCTCGAAAGTACACTTCAGGGGAGACGGAACCATGATCTTAACAGACGTTGATGACACCGTTGTATGGCAGACAAATACCACCACAACTGATGTTGCAATAGCTAAGGTTCTGAATTCAGGCAACCTCGTATTGGAGAATCCACAAGGTGATAATCTTTGGCAAAGTTTTGATTTTCCTACAGATACCCTTTTACCTTTACAAACACTTACTAAGAATAAAAGATTGACTTCTGCATTGAGAAAAGGGAGTTATGGATCAGGTTACTTTAATTTGAATTTTGGAAGTGATAATGTTTTGAGATTGATATCGGATACACCCGATACATCAAGCAATTATTGGCCTAATCCTGATTTTTATGTGTATAGAAATGGAAGAACAAATTATAATAGTAGTAGAGTGGCATTTTTGGATGATATGGGCAGGTTTCTGTCAAGCGATCAATTGCAAATCAATGCTTCTGATATGGGATATGGGATTAAAAGACGGATGACAATAGATTATGATGGGAATCTTAGGATTTATAGCTTGATCAACAATGTGTATATAAATGGAAGAACAAATTATAATAGTAGTAGAGTGGCATTTTTGGATGATATGGGCAGGTTTCTGTCAAGCGATCAATTGCAAATCAATGCTTCTGATATGGGATATGGGATATGGGATTAAAAGACGGATGACAATAGATTATGATGGGAATCTTAGGATTTATAGCTTGATCAACTCGACGGGTTTGTGGGAAATAACGTGGCAAGCTCTTGGACAACCTTGTAGCGTACGAGGTGTGTGTGGAAGAAATGCGGTATGTGTTTATGCGCCGGATCCTCGGTGTGCTTGTCCTCCTGGGTTCGAGGTGAATGATCTGAGTGACTGGAATGCTGGTTGCAAGGCAACGTTCAACGAGACTCTTTTACGTTCTCGACAAGTGAAATTCGTGGAGATGCCTCATGTGGATTTCTATGGTTTTGATCTCAATACGACTTCTCCATTGACATTGGAAGCTTGCAGGGAGATGTGTGCGAGTGATTTTCGTTGCTCTTGTAGCGTACGAGGTGTGTGTGGAAGAAACGCGGTATGTGTTTATGCGCCGGATCCTCGGTGTGCTTGTCCTCCTGGGTTCGAGGTGAATGATCCGAGTGACTGGAATGCTGGTTGCAAGGCAACGTTCAACGAGACTCTTTTACGTTCTCGACAAGTGAAATTCGTGGAGATACCTCATGTAGATTTCTATGGTTTTGATCTCAATACGACTTCTCCATTGACATTGGAAGCTTGCAGGGAGATGTGTGCGAGTGATTTTCGTTGCCTTGCGTTTAGCTACCGGATTTTGGGACAAGGAGTCTGCTTTGTAAAAAGTGCACTCCTTAATGGCTATGAAACTCCAGATTTCCCTGCAAGAATATACATTAAAGTTCCAAACAGTTTGCAACCACCGAATCCTTCAATTCTGTATGAATCCAGAAGAATGTGTGGATCTGCAGAAGCAGAACAAATCATAGGATCTCCTTCTATGTATGACTTCGTCCCGAAAAGAGTGAAATGGATTTATATCTATTCATTTTGTGCAGCATTGGGAGCAATTGAAATAACGATCATTATATTAGGCTGGTGGTTTTTGTTCAGAAAACATGGTATCCCGGCTTCAGTCGAGGCTGGATATCGCATGATTTCTAGCAATTTCAAGAGGTATACTTATGCTGAACTGAAGAAAGCAACCAACAATTTCAAGAATGAGCTAGGAAGAGGAGGTTCGGGTACGGTTTATATGGGGGTACTGTCAGATGGTAGGGAAGTAGCAGTTAAGAAACTGGGGGACGTTTTTCAAGCCCAAGATGAGTATTCAGCAGAAATCAGCACCATAGGAAAGATCAATCACATGAATCTAGTGAGAATTTGGGGGTTTTGCTCAGAACGAAAGCATCGACTCTTGGTCTATGAGTACATCGATAACTTGTCACTCGACAAGCATCTTTTTGACTCTAATTTCCTCACATGGAAGCAAAGGTTTGCGGTGGCAATAGGGACAGCCAAAGGCTTAGCCTACCTCCACCACGAGTGTCTCGAATGGGTAATCCATTGTGATGTGAAACCCGAAAATATACTTCTAGACGGAGAATTTCAACCCAAGATTGCAGATTTCGGGTTAGCAAAACTGTCTCAGAGAGGCGGCCCTGGTTCCGAATTCACCAGAATTCGAGGGACTAAAGGCTACATGGCTCCAGAATGGGCTCTAAACCATCCGATTACAGCTAAAGTCGACGTGTATGGATATGGTGTCGTAATCTTGGAGATGGTAAGGGGAATTAGACTTTCGAATTGGGAGGTCGCTGACGAATATGAGAACGAAGCAGCACTCAAGAGTTTCGTTAGGACAGTGAAGAAAAAAATTGAGCGTGGAAGCTCCGTTTGGGTGGAGAGCTTTGTTGATCCAAGATTGAAAGGGAAGTTTTACAGAAAACAGGCAGAAACATTGGTTCAAATAGGCCTTTCATGTGTACAAGAAGATAGAAACAAGCGCCCAACAATGGCTTCTGTGGTACAAACTCTACTGGAATGTGAAGATGATACAGAAGTCCAGATCTCAGACAATTTAGAAAAAGTTTTTGAAATTTTTGAAAATGTAGACAACTTTGAAGAATAATAAATGGTATAAAATATTAATTAAATGTCTTATTATTTTTAAAATGGAACGATTGCCAATTAAAGACATTGCTGAACCCTATTCATATAGCATACAATTTACAGTTACATTCACATTTACTTTAATTTAACCAAATATATATATAAAAGTATACGTCAAATCTGTGCCCCATTATTCAAAAGATTACAAAATAACTCTGACTCATGGAGTCACGAGCACACAGTTGCAGTTCAAAAAGTCAAAAAAGCAATAAAAAAATATTCACTGTCTTTCAATACTTGATCCCACAGCATCAATTATCATTGAGACAAATGCCTCAAATATTGGGTATGGTGGTGTGTTAAAGCAAATCCCACTAGAATCATCTCAAGAACAGTTAGTTAGGTACCATAGTGGTGTGTGGACCGGCCCTCAAAAGAATTACTCCACTATCAAAAAAGAAATTCTTTCAATAGTTTTGTGTATTTCAAAATTTTAAGACGATCTTATCAACAAAAAATTTATTTTGAAAACAGATTGTAAAGCCTCAAAAGATGTTTTACAAAAAAATGTAAAAAAAAATCTTGTTTCCAAACAAATCTTTGCAAGAGAACAGACTATTTTGTCCTGTTTTGATTTCAAAATTCGATATATACAAGGGAAATCAAACTTCTTGGCAGACTTCCTCACAAGATATTTTATTCACAAAAAGAGTGAAAATGAGTTGAGCAAAACAAGTTGAAGAAGAAGATCAAAACCCTTTTCAAAAGAAACAAAGTAAAAAGAAAAATTCTACTCAATTTTTCTCAATCAATGATCTCTCAAAAGATCATTCTGAAAAAGAAGTTCAAGAAGCTTCATCCTCTTCAAATACCCTTTCTACTTTTATCAAAAAACTCAACCAAAATAAAGAAAAAGCTACTCCTTCAAACTACAAAAAAGCCATCCAAAGTTCTGAAAAACTTCCTCAAATTAACCCTCCTCAAAATTTTCAATATTTTGCCAAAAATATTTTTGAAAATTGCCTTGATATGGAAACATCTTGGCTTCACAGATACAAAAATCTGGACGAATGTCTTCCAAACATTTCCCATCCAATTTCTGGTTTATGCCATCAAATGTTCAAAAATCCCGAGAATATTATGAGACTATCCTTTTGAAAACAGGATCAGCCATAATTTCTCATACTTCAGATCCTCAAAATAAAGAAGGAACAATATTTTCAAAAATCAGTATTTTTAGGGTATTGTCTTACGAAGACTGGGAACAAAACCTTTGGGATGAAAAGAGATTCAAGCTCTCTTCAACATATTGTACAACTTCTAAATATTTCAATTATTTTGATTATATCAATGCCTGGTATAGAGTCTTTTTCTTTAGACCTATTACCCATTCATGATTCATTCTTTTTAATCAAAACTGTCATCCTTATTTTTCAAAATGGTTTCAAACATGGTTTTTGTATCATGGATTTGAAGAGAAAATTTTACCCAGTTTTACTCTTCAAGGATATATACTTCAAAAAAGAGGCGAAAACATTTTTAAAGCCTCATGTTTCAATTTGCCTTCAATATGAATGTTTCCTGGATTTTTTGCTGGAATTTCTTTCTACTGCAGAATCAAAATAATGAATACTTCACTTAAAAGATTACCAGAAGATTCAAAGTCAAATGGTGGTCTAAATTCAAAGAAACAAATTGTTGTCCAAAAACGGTTCAATCATGGATTCAAGAACAAAGAAATTTGGGTATTCCAAAATTCTCAAAAAAAGAACAAGATGATCAAGCAGATTTTCTGATTGAAAAACAAAGGATTATTTCAATGTTATCAAAATGCAAAGATCCAAAAGAATTATTAGAAATTTATTAACAGATTTCTAATATTGGATCTAAAAAATCAAGTACTCAAGAATCTCAAGAAACAGACAATGGTGATAACCTAATTAATTTAGGTTATGATGTCTTTCTTGCTCAAGAAAAAAGGATCAAATGACTACAAGAACCCAGTTTTCACGAAGAATTGAGAAATTACCGGATTAATAAATCAAGGGAAATTCTTTTCAAATGTTGCATGCCAGCTAATCAGCTTTTTCTCAAGAGACTGCCGTCTATTCCAAGAAAAAGATAACTTTATTAAACTAGGAATCTTTCTTTTTAAAGTTAGTAAAAAAGATGGCTCAATTATTCGAAAGTGTGTTTCATATTTCAAGATTCTTCATTATGTTGTCTTCCACTCAACTATTCAAGATTCTTTCTGGCAAACGAAAGAAATTTCAAGTCCGAATTTCAAGTATAAGAAGACTTCAAGAGTTCATTCCAAGGCAGAGCGAATTTGGCAATAGAAGTTTATTTTCTCTTGTTATTTTTGTTCTTTAAAAAATTACTCTTTAATTTTTCAAATTTTGTAATCATTCAATAATCAATAAAATTTCTCTTTTCAAATATTTCTATTCTTAATTTGGATTTTTTTTTTATTTTCTGATTTCCTTTCCCCTGGGCTATTTTGGTATCAAAGCCATAAGAGAGTAAAGTGATATTATTGTCAAACACTGTAGGCACAATATATTTAGGAAAACATTGTTCAAACTTGGACGTCTGCTGTTAAGCGTTGGTCAGCCCGTATTGCCGGTGTAGGCGTTGAAGGGTGGTCCCATTGTAGGCTTGGTGAGAACCTGTTAATCTTATTATTTTGTTTTTACTTTGTTTAATAGTAAGTTCATTTTTATTCAATTATGTATTCAGTTACTAATTGGTTAAAGAGATCAAGGTCTAGAAATAAACGTAAAAATCAATCAAATGAGAATGGAGCAAATGTTTTTCAAACAGAAGAAGAAATTGATCATGCATCTGTATCAAATGATTTCAATTCTCATGAACTTCAAGTTGCTCAAATTGAACAACGTTTTCAAAATTGGACTATTCCAAATATGGATAAACATACCATCTATGAAATAGGAAAATTTGATTTTTCTCAAAATTATGTTATCAAAACTATTAAACAAACTGTTTCAAAAAAAAAATCTTATTGGGAAGATTATTTTAAATCTTCTACTGATTTAAGTTTCTATGAATGGATTCAATTCAAATTTTTTGGTAAAAAGCTAGAAAAAACAAAATTTTTTACTTCAAAAACTCATAACAATATTTGAAGAACTCCAGAAGGAAATACTTTCCAATCAACTCATCCTCCGATACAAGAAATAGTTATTCCTCATTGAAAAATTGAAATCCTTGCATCTCCACTCAAAAAGGATTCCTAAAGAACGATTTGATGAATCTCAGGTTGTTGCTAAGGATATAAAAAATATTCAACCTTAGAACAATTATACTAATGTTGTTCTTCAATCTATGTGCTCTCAGTTCAATCGTATCGAATCAGATTCTGAATCTGAGAATATTACTTCTCAAAAGGATTCTTCTAAAGAATCTAGAGAAAGTAGTAGTAAAGATAAGAAATTATCAAAACCATCATTCTCTTCCTCTTCGATTTTCAAAAGTAATGATATGATACCTCAATTTGGAAAATCTTCTACTCTTTAAACTGAAAGTGAATTTCTTTCCGAACTTGCTATTCAATTAAAAAAATTTCATGTTTCAAAAAACATCAATACCATTGAAGAAATTGAAGCTCAATTTATTGATGAAAAATATGATTCAATTAATAAATTGAGAAAATCTGATTATCAAAATCTTCCAAAATATTATCCTCGTCCTTTATTCCCAGACCAGCTTTTTGAAAAAAAAAAGAAAAAAAAAGCTAAACCTCGAAGAACTTATGACGGTCATTCCGGTGTCGAGTGGAATCTCGATGGATTTACTGAATATCAAATTATCAATTTTATGGGACAATGTGTTACAAAACTTATCTTGCAAAAGGTACATCTAGAAGAGATGCTACTAATAATATTGTTCTTGGAATCACGGGATAGCTTGGTCAATGGTGGGATAATTTTATTTCTCAAACTGAGAAGGATATTATTTTTTCAGCTGTTAAGCGCGATGAGCGCGATGAAAATAATAATATTATTCATGATTCAAATGGAAATGAAATTAGTGACAGTTTTACCATTCTTGGTTTAACTATTATCAAACATTTTATTGGTACTCCAGAAAATATTGTTCAAATGCAAAACGACATTTTGATAAATTTAAGATGTCCAAAATTACAAGATTTTCGATGGTACAAAGATATGTTTTTATCTCGTATCATATCATGATCAGATAAGATTGTCAACAATCTTTTTGGAAAGAAAAATTTATTTCAGATCTTCCAAAACTCTTTGCAGAAAGAGTAAAAAATTCTATTTTCCAAGAATTTGATGACCTTCAAACACTCACTTATGGTGAAATTATTAATTTCATTACTAAAGAAGCTTTAAATTTATGCAATGATTTGAAATTCAAAGCCAAATTGAAAGCAGAAAAAACTGAGAGTTGAAAAAAACTTGGATCTTTCTGTGAACAGTATGGTTTTGAAAAAGTCATTCCTCCTTCTTCAAAATCCAAATTTTTTTCTCTAAATAGGAAATTTTCTAAAAGAAAATATTTCAAAAAATTTCCGGAAGAATTTTCAAATAAAAGAAATTTTTCGAAAAGAAAACCTTTTTCAAAAAAGAAAAATTCGAAAAATTCTTCAAATATTACTCGTTGGAAATGTAATAAGACTGGTCATTATTCCAATAAATGTCCACTCAAAAACAAAATTAGTAATCTTCAAATTGATGAAGATACTAAAAACCAACTTCTCATTCTCATTGAATCAAGTTCTGATAATGAGCCTAACTCGTTCTCCTCATCCTCTGATATTTCTTCAAACTCAGATAAAAAAATTTGTGGCTGTAAAACTATAAATGTTTTATCTAGAGAAGAAGAAGTAATTCAAGATATCATTGATAGAATTGATAATCCTAATCTCAAGAAAAATTTTTCTTTCCTTTTACCTTCAACTTCAAAACAAGATTTCGATGATATCAATATCAATCAAATTCTCAAACGAGCTCAAAAAGAATTTTCGAAAGGTTCTAAACCTTCTATTCCTGATCTTCAACAAGAGATCAAGGGTATGAAATCTCAAATTTCATATCTTGAAAACCAAGTCAAATAAATTCACATGGAAGTCGTTTGTATGAAAGCAAAAGACTTGAATGATGAATTTTATTCAAAATTCAAAGGAAAATCGAAAGTTTCTTCGAAGCATTCTTCCAAACGATCTTCAAAACATTCTAAATCTTCATCTGACTGTTCATTATATTCTAATCTCAAAATTCTTAAATCTAAAGAAGAAAAGGTTAATGTTATTAACCGAATTCAACTTCAAAAATGATACCGCAATATGACTATTGTTGTGAACAAAGAATTTAAATTTACAACTCGTGTCCTTATTGATTTAGGCGCAGATCAAAATTGTATCAAAGAAGGCTTAATTCGTACAAAATATTTTGAGAAAACCACTGAGCGTCTTTATAAAGCTAGTGAAAAAAGCTTAATATCAATTATAAAATTTCAAAAGCTCATGTTTGTAATTTAAATATTTGTTTCAAAAATATTTTTTATCTTGTAAAAGATTTTGATCAAGAAGTTATTCTTGGTACACCTTTTATTGTTCAAATTTATCATTTTAAAGCCAATTATAAAGGATTAACTACAAAAGTTGTTGGTCAAAAAATATTTTTTGAATTTACAAATCCCCCTTCTTAAAAAGATATTAATTCTTTAAAAGAAACTGCTATTTCAAAAATTATCAACAATATTATATTAAAGAAAAATCATATTCAATTTCTTAAAGAAGAAATTCAAATTCAAAAAATGGAAAAAAGATTGCGAGAATCTTCTTTTCAAGAAAAAATTTCAAAACTTCAAAATAAAATTGAAAAAGAAATTTGTTCAACTATTCCCAATGCCTTCTGGGATAGAAAGAAACATGTTGTTTCTCTTCCTTATAATTTTGATTTTCATGAATCAAATATTCCTACAAAATCTCGTCCTATTCAAATGAATAAAGAGTTACTTGATTTTTGTTTCAAAGAAATCAATGATTTACTTAATAAAGGTTTAATCCGACCAAGTAAATCTCCTTGGAGCTGTTCAGCTTTCTATGTCAATAATTCTGTTGAAATTGAATGAGGAGTTCCTCGTTTGGTTATCAATTATAAACTTCTCAATACTGCTATTCAATGGATTAGATATCTTATTTCTCAAAAGAAAGATTTTTTAAATCGTCTTTGTAAAACTGTCATTTTTTCAAAATTTGATATGAAGTCAAGTTTCTGACAAATTCAAATTAAAGAAGAAGACAGATATAAGATTGCCTTCAATGTTCATTTTGGATAATATGAATGGAATGTTATGCCATTCGATCTCAAAAATGCTCCCTCTGAATTTCAAAAAATTATGAATGATATTTTTAATTTTTTTTCAAATTTCATTATTATTTACATTAATGATGTTCTTATATTTTCTGAAAATATAGAACAACGTTTTAAACATATTCATACATTCGTTCATGTTACAAAAAAGCGTTTAGCAGTTTCTGCTAAAAAAATTGTTTTATTTCAAACAAAAATACGTTTTCTTAGTCATTATATTCATAATGGTACTTTAACTCCAATTCAAATAAATCTTGATTTCATTGGCAAATTTCTTGATGAAATTATTGATAAAACAAGTTTACAACGCTTTTTAGGTTGTGTCAATTATGTCGCTAATTTTGTCAAAAGTATACGTCAAATCTGTACCCCATTAATCAAAAAATTAAAAAACAACCTAGGCCCATGGAGTCACGAGCACGCAATTGCAGTTCAAAAAGTCAAAAAAGTAATAAAAAATATTCCCTATCTTTCAATACTTGACCCCAAAATAGCCCAGGGGAAAGGAAATCAGAAAATAAAAAATAATATCAAAATTAAGAATAGAAATATTTGAAAAGAGAAATTTTACTGATTATTGAACGACTACAGAATTTGAAAAATTACAGAGTAATTTTTTAGAGAACAAAAGTAACAAGAGAAAATAAACTTCTATTGTTAAATTCGCTCTGCCTTGGAATGACTCTTGAAGTCTTTTTATACTTGAAATCCAGACTTGAAATTTCTTTCATTTGTCAGTAAGAATCTTGAATAGTTGAGTGGGAGACAACATAATGAAGAATCTTGAAATATGAAACCCACTTTTGAATAATTGAGCCATCTTTTTGACTAACTTTAAAAAGAAAGATTCCTACTTTAATAAAGTTATATTTTTCTTGGAATAGACAGCAATCTCTTGAAAAAAAGGTGATTAGCTGGCATGCAACATTTGAAAAGAATTTTCCTTGATTTATTGATCCGGTAATTTCTCAATTCTTCGAGAAAACTGGGTTCTTGTAGTCATTTGATCATTTTTTCTTAAGCAAGAAAGTCATCGTAACCTAAATCAATTAGATCATCACCATTGTCTATTTTTTGAGATTTTTGATCAAATTCTTGAGTACTTGATTTTTAGATCCAATATTAGAAATATGTTCATAAATTTCTAATAATTATTTTGGATCTTTGCATTTTGATAACATTGAAATAATCCTTTATTTTTCAGTCAGAAAATATGCCTGATCATCTTTTTCTTTTTTTGAGAATTTTGGGAAACCCAAATTTCTTTGTTATTGAATCCATGATTGAACCGCTTTTGGACAACAATTTTTTTCTTTGAATTTAGACCGCCATTTGACTTTGAATCTTCTGGTAATCTTTTGAGTGAAATATTCATCATTTTGATTCTGCAGTAGAAAAAATCCCAGCAAAAAATTCAGGAAACTTTCATATTGAAGGCAAATTGAAACAAAACATTTTCTTGAGCCTTTAAAAATGTTTTCGCCTCGTTTTTGAATTATTCACATCCTTGAAAAGTAAGACTGGATAAAATTTTCTCTTCAAGTTTATGATACAAAAATCATGTTTGAAACCATTTTGGAAAATGAGGATAACAATTTTGATTAAAAAGAATGAACCATGAATGGTAACAGTTCTAAAGAAAAAGACTCTGTACCATGCATTGATATAATCAAAATAATTGAAATATTCAGAAGTTGTACAATATGTTGAAGAGAGCTTAAGTCTTTTTTCATCCCAAGGGTTTTGTTCTCAGTCTTCGTAAGACAATACCCTAAAAATACTGATTTTTGAATAAACATCGTTTATTCTTTATTTTGAGGATTTGGAGTATGAGAAATTATGGTTGATCCTGTTTTCAAAATGATAGTCTCATAATATTCTCGAGATTTTTGAACATTTAATGGCATAAACCAGAAATTGGATGAGAAAATATTTGGAAGACATTCATCCAGATTTTTGTATCTGTGAAGCCAAGATGTTTTCATATCAAGACAATTTTCAAAGATATTTTTGGTAAAATATAGAAAATTTTGAAGAGGGTTAATTTGAGGAAGTTTTCCAAAACTTTGAACGGCTTTTTTGTAGATTGAAGGGGTAACTTTTTCTTTATTTTGGTTGGGTTTTTTGATAAAAGTAGAAAGGATATTTGAAGGGAATGAAGCTTCTTGAGCTTCTTTTTCAGAATGATCTTTTGAGAGATCATTAATTGAGAAAAATGGAGTAGAATTTTTCTTTCTATTTTGCTTTTTTTTTAAACGGGTTTTGATCTTCTTCTTCTTCAACTTGTTTCGCCCAACACATTTTCACTCTTTTTGTGAATAAACTCTCTCTTGTGAGGAAGTCTGCCAAGAAGTTTGATTTTCCTTGTATATATAGAAGTTTGAAATCAAAATGGGACAAAATAGTCTACCATCTTATAAAGATTTGTTTGGAAACAAGATTTTTTTACATATTTTTTGTAAAACATCTTTTGAGGTTTTGCATTCGGTTTTCAAAATAAATTTTTTTGTTGATAAGATCGTCTTGAAATTTTGAAATACACAGAACTATTGAAAGAATTTCTTTTTTGATAGTTGAGTAATTCTTTTGAGGGCCGATTCACACACTACTGTGGTACCTAACTAGCTGTTCTTAAGATGACTCAAGTGGGATTTGCTTTAACACACCACCATACCCAATATTCGAGGCATCTGTCTCAATGATAATTAATGTTGTGGGGTTAAGTATTGAAAGATAGGGAAGATTTTTGATTACTTTTTTTACTTTTTGAACTGCAAATGTGTGCTCGTGACTTTATGGGTCATGGTTGTTTTGTAATCTTTTGACTAATGGGGCACAGATTTGGCGTATACTTTTGACAAAATCGGTCACATAATTGACACAACCTAAAAGGCGTTGCAAACTTGTTTTATCAATAATTTCATCAGAAAATTTGTCTATGAAATCAAGACTTCTTTGAATTGAAGTTAAAGATATTTAAATTTCTTTTTCAACATGAAGATATTTAAATTTCTTTTTAAATTTTATTTTGCAGTTCTGAAATTTTTTCTTGAGAAGAAGATTCTTGCAATTTTAATTTGAAAAATAAATTTGTTCAACTATTCCCAATGCCTTCTGGGATAGAAAGAAACATGTTGCTTCTCTTTTTTGATTTTTATGAATCAAATATTCCTACAAAATCTCGTCCTATTCAAATTAATAAAGAGTTACGTGATTTTTGTTTCAAAGAAATCAATGATTTACTTGAGAAAGGTTTAATCCGACCAAGTAAATCTCCTTGGAGCTATTTAGCTTTCTATGTCAATAATTTTGCTGCAATTGAATGCGGAGTTCCTCGTTCCGTTATCAATTATAAATCTCTCAATACTGCTCTTCAATGGATTAAATATCATATTCCTCAAAAGAAAGATCTTTTAAATCGTCTTTGTAAAGCTGTCATCTTTTCAAAATTTGATATGAAGTCAAGTTTCTGACAAATTCAAATTAAAGAAAAAGACAGATACAAGACTACCTTCAATGTTCATTTTGGACAATATGAATGGAATGTTATGTCATTCGGTCTCAAAAATGCTCTCTCTGAATTTCAAAAAATTATGAATGATATTTTCAATCCTTTTTCAAATTTCATTAATGTTTACATTGATGATGTTCTTATATTTTCTGAAAATATAGAACAACATTTTAAACATATTCATACATTCGTTCATGTTATCAAGAAAAATGGTTTAACAGTTTCTGCTAAGAAAATTATTTTATTTCAAACAAAAATACGTTTTCTTGGTCATTATATTCATAATGGTACTTTAACTCCAATTCAAAGAAGTCTTGATTTTATTGACAAATTTCTTGATGAAATTATTGATAAAACAAGTTTGCAACACTTTTTAGGTTGTGTCAATTATGTGGCCGATTTTGTCAAAAGTATACGTCAAATCTGTGCCCCATTAATCAAAAGATTACAAAATAACCCTGGCCCATGGAGTCACAAGCACGCAGTTGCAGTTCAAAAAGTCAAAAAAGCAATCAGAAATATTCCCTATCGTTCTATACTTGACCCCAAAATAGCCCAGGGGAAAGTAAATCAGAAAATAAAAAATAATATCAAAATTAAGAATAGAAATATTTGAAAAGAGAAATTTTATTGATTATTGAACGACTACAGAATTTGAAAAATTACAAAGTAATTTTTTAGAGAACAAACGTAACAAGAGAAAATAAACTTCTATTGTTAAATTCGCTCTGCCTTGGAATGACTCTTGAAGTCTTTTTATACTTGAAATCCAGACTTGAAATTTCTTTCATTTGCCAGAAAGAATCTTGAATAGTTGAGTGGGAGACAACATAATGAAGAATCTTGAAATATGAAACCCACTTTTGAATAATTGAGCCATTTTTTTGACTAACTTTAAAAAGAAAGATTCCTACTTTAATAAAGTTATCTTTTTCTTGGAATAGACGGCAATCTCTTGAAAAAAAGGTGATTAGCTGGCATGCAACATTTGAAAAGAATTTTCCTTGATTTATTGATCCGGTAATTTCTCAATTCTTCGAGAAAACTGGGTTCTTGTAGTCATTTGATCATTTTTTCTTGAGCAAGAAAGTCATCATAACCTAAATCAATTAGATCATCGCCATTGTCTGTTTCTTGAAATTCTTGATCAAATTCTTGAGTACTTGATTTTTTAGATCCAATATTAGAAATATGTTCATAAATTTCTAATAATTATTTTGGATCTTTGCATTTTGATAACATTGAAATAATCCTTTATTTTTCAGTCAGAAAATATGCCTGATCATCTTGTTCTTTTTTTGAGAATTTTGGAAAACCCAAATTTCTTTGTTCTTGAATCCATGATTGAACCGCTTTTGGACAATAATTTTTTTCTTTGAATTTAGACCACCATTTGACTTTGAATCTTCTGGTAATCTTTTGAGTGAAATATTCATCATTTTGATTCTGCAGTAGAAAAAAATCTCAGCAAAAAATCTAGGAAACTTTCATATTGAAGACAAATTGAAACAAAACATTTTCTTGAGCCTTTAAAAATGTTTTCGCCTCGTTTTTGAATTATTCACATCCTTGAAGAGTAAGACTGGATAAAATTTTCTCTTCAAGTCCATGATACAAAAACCATATTTGAAACCATTTTGGAAAATGAGGATAACAATTTTGATTAAAAAGAATGAACCATGAATGGGTAACAGGTTTAAAGAAAAAGACTCTGTACCATGCATTGATATAATCAAAATAATTCAAATATTCAGAAGTTGTACAATATGTTGAAGAGAGCTTGAGTCTCTTTTCATCCCAAGGGTTTTGTCCTCAGTTTTCGTAAGACAATACCCTAAGAATACTGATTTTTGAAAACATCGTTTATTCTTTATTTTGAGGATTTGGAGTATGAAAATTATGGCTGACCCTGTTTTCAAAAGGATAGTCTCATAATATTTTCGAGATTTTTGAACATTTAATGGCATAAACCAGAAATTGGATGGGAAAATGTTTGGAAGACATTCATCCAGATTTTTGTGTCTGTGAAGCCAAAATGTTTTCATATCAAGGCAATTTTCAAAGATATTTTTGATAAAATATTGAAAATTTTGAAGAGGGTTAATTTGAGGAAGTTTTCCAGAACTTTGGATGGCTTTTTTTTAGTTTGAAGGGGTAGCTTTTTCTTTATTTTGGTTGGGTTTTTTAATAAAAGTAGAAAGGATATTTGAAGGGAATGAAGCTTCTTGAGCTTCTTTTTCAGAATGATCTTTTGAGAGATCATTAATTGAGAAAAATGGAGTAGAATTTTTCTTTCTACTTTTTTTTTTAAACGAGTTTTGAACTTCTTCTTCAACTTGTTTTGCCCAACTCATTTTCACTCTTTTTGTGAATAAACTCTCTCTTGTGAGGAAGTCTACCAAGAAGTTTGATTTTCCGTGTATATATAGAATTTTGAAATCAAAACAAGACAAAATAACCTGTCATCTTGTAAAGATTTGTTTGGAAACAAGATTTTTTACATCTTTTGAGGTTTTGCAATCTGTTTTCAAAATAATTTTTTTTGTTGATAAGATCGTCTTGAAATTTTGAAATACATAGAACTATTGAAAGAATTTCTTTTTTGATAGTGGAGTAATTCTTTTAAGGGCCGGTCCACACACCACTGTGGTACCTAACTAACTGTTCTTGAGATGACTCAAGTGGGATTTGCTTTAACACACCACCATACCCAATATTCGAGGCATCTGTCTCAATGATAATTGATGTTGTGGGGTTAAGTATTGAAAGATAGGGAATATTTTTGATTTCTTTTTTGACTTTTTGAACTGCAAATGTGTGCTCGTGAATCTATGGGTCAGGGTTATTTTGTAATCTTTTGACTAAGGGGCACAGATTTAACGTATACTTTTGACAAAATCGGTCACATAATTGACACAACCTAAAAAGCGTTGCAAACTTATTTTATCAATAATTTCATTAGAAAATTTGTCTATGAAATCAAGACTTATTTGAATTGAAGTTAAAGATATTTAAATTTCTTTTTCAACATGAAGATATTTAAATTTCTTTTTTAATTTTATTTTGAAGTTCTGAAATTTTTTCTTGAGAAGAAGATTCTTACAATTTTAATTTGAAAAATAAATTTATTCAACTATTCCCAATGCCTTCTGAGATAGAAAGAAACATGTTACTTCTCTTCCTTACAATTTTGATTTTCATGAATCAAATATTCCTACAAAATCTCGTCCTATTCAAATGAATAAAGAGTTACTTGATTTTTGTTTCAAAGAAATCAATGATTTACTTGAGAAAATGTTTAATCCGACCAAGTAAATCTCCTTGGAGCTATTCAGCTTTCTATGTCAATAATTCTGCTGCAATTGAACGAGGAGTTCCTCATTCGGTTATCAATTATAAATCTCTTAATACTGCTCTTCAATGGATTAGATATCCTATTCCTCAAAAGAAAGATATTTTAAATCGTCTTTGTAAAGCTGTCACCTTTTCAAAATTTGATATGAAGTCAGGTTTCTGATAAATTCAAATTAAAGAAAAAGACAGATACAAGACTACCTTCAATGTTAATTTTGGACAATATGAATGGCATGTTATATCATTCGGTCTCAAAAATGCTCTCTCTGAATTTCAAAAAATTATGAATGATATTTTCAATCCTTTTTCAAATTTCATTAATGTTTACATTGATGATGTTTTTATATTTTCTGAAAATATAGAACAACATTTTAAACATATTCATACATTCGTTCATGTTATCAAGAAAAATGGTTTAACAGTTTCTGCTAAGAAAATTATTTTATTTCAAACAAAAATACGTTTTCTTGGTCATTATATTCATAATGGTACTTTAACTCCAATTCAAAGAAGTTTTGATTTCATTGACAAATTTCCTAATGAAATTATTGATAAAACAAGTTTGCAACGCTTTTTAGATTTTGTCAATTATGTGGCCGATTTTGTCAAAAGTATACATCAAATATGTACCACATTATTCAAAAGATTACAAAACAACCCTAACTCATGGAGTTACGAGCACAAAGTTGTAGTTCAAAAAGTCAAAAAAGCAATCAAAAATATTCCCTATCTTTCTATACTTACCCCACAGCATCAATTATCATTGAGACAGATGCCTCGAATATTGGGTATGGTGGTGTGTTAAAGCAAATCCCACTTGAGTCATCTCAAGAACAGTTAGTTAGGTACCACAGTGGTGTGTGGACCGGCCCTTAAAAGAATTACTCCACTATCAAAAAAGAAATTCTTTCAATAGTTCTATGTATTTCAAAATTTCAAGACGATCTTATCAACAAAAAAATAATTTTGAAAATAGATTGCAAAGTCTCAAAATATATTTTACAAAAAGATGTGGAAAATCTTGTTTCTAAACAAATTTTTGCAAGATGGCACGCTATTTTGTCCTGTGTTGATTTCGAAATTCTTTATATACAAGGGAAATCAAACTTCTTGGCAGACTTCCTCACAAGAGAGTTCATTCATAAAAAGAGTGAAAATGGGTTAGGCTAAGCAAGTTGAAGAAGAAGATCAAAATCCGTTTCAAAAGAAAAAAAAGTAGAAAAAAAAAATTCTACTCATTTTTTCTCAATAAATGATCTCTTAAAAGATCATTCTCCAAATGAAGCTCAAGAAGCTTCTTCCTCCTCAAATACCCTTTCAACTTTTATCAAAAAACCTGACCAAAATAAGCTTAAAGAGAAAGCTACGCCTTCAAACTACAAAAAAGCCGTTCAAAGTTCTGGAAACTTCCTCAAATTAACCCTCCTCAAAATTTTCAATATTTTACCAAAAGTATCTTTGAAAATTGCCTTGATATGGAAACATCTTGGCTTCACAGATACAAAAATTCGGACGAATATCTTCCAAACATTTTTTCAATCAATTTTTGGTTCATGCCATCAAATATCAAAAAAATCCTGAGATTATCATGAGACAATCCTTTTGAAAATAGGATCAGCCATAATTTCTCATACTCGAGCTCCTCAAAATAAAGAAGAAACAATGTTTTCAAAAATCAGTATTCTTAGCGTATTGTTTTACGAAGACTGGGGACAAAACTCATGGGAAGAAAAGAGACTTAAACTCTCTTCAACATTTTGTACAACTTCTGAATATTTCAATTATTTTGATTATATCAATGCCTGGTACAGTTTAGACCTGTTACCCATTCATGGTTCATTCTTTTCAATCAAAATTGTCATCCTCATTTTCCAAAATGGTTTCAAACTTGGTTTGTGTATCATGGACTTGAAGATAAAATTTTGCCCAGTCTTACTCTTCAATGATATGAATACTTCAAAAGAGAGGCTAAAACAAAGCCTCAAGAAAATGTTTTGTTCCAATTTGCTTTCAATATGAAAGTTTCCTGAATCTTTTGCTGGATTTCTTTCTACTGCAGAATCAAAATGATGAAGACTTCACTTAAAAGATTACCAGAAGATTAAAAGTCAAATGGTGATCTAAATTCAAAAAAACAAATTGTTGTCCAAAAGCAGTTCAATCATGAATTCAAGAACAAAGAAATTTGGGTATCCCAAAATTCTAAAAGAAAGAACAAAATGATCAGGCAGATTTTCTGATTGAAAAACAAAGGATTATTTCAATATTATCAAAATGCAAAGATCCAAAAGAATTATTAGAAATTTATGAACAAATTTCTAAAAATGGATCTAAAAAAATCAAGTACTCAAGAATCTGATCAAGAATCTCAAGAGATGGACAATGGTGATGACCTAATTAATTTAGGTTATGATGACTTTCTTGCTCCAGAAAAAAGGTCCAAATGACTAAAAGAACCTAGTTTTCTTGAAGAATTGAGAAATTACAGGATCAATAAAACAAGGGAGATTCTATTCAAATTTTGCACGCCAACAAATCAGGTTTTTCTCAAGAGATTGCCGTCCATTCCAAGAAAAAGATAACTTCATTAAAGAAGAAATATTTCTTTTTTAAAGTTAGTCAAAAGATGGCTCCATTATTCAAGAATGGGTATCATTTTTCAAGATTTTTCATTATGTTGTTCCCACTCAACTATTCGAGATTCTTTCTGGCAAATGAAAAAAATTTCAAGTCCGGATTTCAAATATAAGAAGACTTCGTTCATTTCAAGACAGAGCAAAATTGGCAATAGAAGTTTATTTTCTTTTGTTATTTTTGTTCTCTAAAAAATTACTTCGTAATTTTTCAAATTCTGTAATCGTTCAATTATCAAATTATTAATAAAATTTCCTTTTTTAAAAAATTTCTATTCTTAATTTTGATATATATAGACTGCTATTTGAACTAATCCAAGATGAAGATATTTAAATTTCTTCTTGTTGGATTCAATATCTTCTTTTGTAAATAAATTAATGAAAGAATTTTGACTATTAATTGAAATAGTTTGTTCAATAGTTTTGATAACATAATTTTGAGAAGAATCAAATTTTCCTATTTCATAGATGGTATATTTATCCATCTTTGGAATAGTCCAATTTTGAAGACGTTGTTCAATTTGTGCAATTTGAAGTTCATGAGAATTGAAATTATTTGATGCAGATGATGCAGATGCATGATCAATTTCTTCTTCTGTTTGAAAAACATTTGCTCTATTCTCATTTGATTGATTTTCACGTTTATTTCTAGACCTCGATCTCCGTAACCAATCAGTAACTGAAGACATAATTGAATAAAAATGAACTTACTATTAAACAAAGTAAAAACAAAATAATAGGATTAACAGGTTCTCACTAAACCTACAACGGGACCACCCTTCAAACGCATACACCGACAACACGGGCTGACCAACGCTTAACAGCAGACGTTCAGGTTTGAACAAGGTTTTCTTAAATATCTTGTGTCTACAGTGTGATAACCAAACGAGGAACTCCTCTTTCAATTTCAGCAGAATTATTGATATAGAAAGCTGAATAGCTTCAAGAAGATTTACTTGGTCGAATTAAACATTTCTCAAGTAAATCATTGATTTCTTTGAAACAAAAATCAAGTAACTCTTTATTCATTTGAATAGGACGAGATTTTGTAGGAATATTTGATTCATGAAAATCAGAATTGTAAAGAAGATAAACAACATGTTTCTTTCTATTCCAGAAGGCATTGGGAATAGTTGATCAAATTTCTTTTTCAATTTTATTTTGAAGTTCTAAAATTTTTTCTTGAAAAGAAGATTCTTGCAATCTTTTTTCCATTTTTTGAAATTGACTTTCTTCTTTAAGAAATTGAATATGATTTTTCTTTAAATTAATATTGTTG